TGACCATTATAATAATATACTTACAGGAAAACTTGGCCCTGCATACTGCCTTAATGCTGGAACTGGTGGTGGAGGATACCTCTGTTGCGGAGGCCCTGAATTCCCTGCAGATTGCGAACTAGAAAACCTCTGCGCCATTTTAGCGTCCTATGCACAGACAAACCAACTGCACTCTTAGTACCATATTATCTGTGCAACAGATCACAGACACGAATATAAATGGCCATGGTATGCTTTGGCTATAACCACACATCCAAGTATATGTACCTTCAAATGAGAAAAACACTCAATAATGAATTGCAAAGAATGTGAAAGCAGTTCTGGTCAAATTTCAAGGCATCCTGTGACCCCTTTATTTTCCCAAAATCGAGCAAACCCACGAGAAACCTTAGAACCTCGGACCTTCCGAATACAAGGCTGGAGTACTAATTACTTATCTATGTGGTTTGGTGCAATGTTATTCTTTAAATCCACTATAGCACTTACGGCAGTGTATTACTAAGTGCTATGGATAAAATACACGAGAACCAAAATCTTTGGTGCAATAACCCTCTGACTGCATATTACTGCTGTCTGAAATTGTAATACTATTACTATTGCTAGTAGGCTTTTTCATTTGTGTAAATACTATCCTTAACATTCTCGTTGATATTAATGTTTTAACAATGTCAGAACAGTTTAAGTAAAATACTGCTTTTGGAGGTTAATGACGAGGTTTCTCTTCTCTGATATTTTAAAATGCTAATCCTTTTATTTGGTTTACAAGACCTAAAGTTTTGTTAAATTATTAAAGTGATTTAATGACCAATACTATTTTACTCTTCTACATTTTTTGTAGTATTTAGGTACGCTGTTCTGATCATAAACATTTATTGATCAGTCTGTTGAAATTACAATTTACAGTTCTCATAAATTCTTTTTTATACATTGCTAGTTATATAGCTTTAATTAAGAGTTGTATTTCTTGAACCAATTAAAAAAAATTCACTTAAAACAATGGTGTACCAACAGGCCATCTACAAATATTTTTTTATATACCTGTGACATACCTGCAATATTTCTGTACAAACATACTCCATTTCCTTATCCAAGTCACATACCTTCTACTAGCAGTCTGGCTGTTGGCCTCAGCCCCCTCAAACAAGAAATCCACCTGAAGCCGATCATAATACTGGTTATCCATGAGGAACAAATTACGTCTTAAAACATCAATACCAATACATAATATTAAAATGGCTGTCTTCTGTGCTGTAATGCCATGTGGTCTGTTATATTACCAACAATGCAGAGGTCCTTGCTGCCTCCATCATCAGGTTGATGCTACACAATCGGCACATGGTGTTGGGTCTTCGAACAATATTGGATAATGAAAGAAGCAGCAGCATGCTGTATTCTGGCTGGTTTGTAGTTTTTAACTGATGCACCATTAATTGTGATGGATATTTAACATTAAATACAGTGAGAGGAATATGTAGAAGAATGCAGTAATTATGATATCCTGACATTTTCAACCATACACATCCCCAATACAATGCTCTGAAATGTAGTCATTCTACTTGAATGCAAAACCTAGATTCACTTGAAGTGAAAGAACATAAGCACATCATTTCCTATATTTGTTTTGTATGCGCTCACTGCCTGAAACATCAACGTTCCTCTTCTTCCCTGCTGACTACCATTTCTATGATGGAGTTGACTACAAGTCTGCACCATGCCTTTCAATATCTTGCCACACATGATCCATATCAGCGTAACTTGGAGATGGGTGGCATGAGGTCACAAACCGGAAGAAGTTCTTGAGTCCTCTGTGCGGCAAAGGTTGATAACCGATCATTAGCGTCCCTGAAAGTATCAGCTTCTCCTTAATTTTAGGTGCAACCTATAACAAAAACCAGAATGTACCTGTTAATTCACCTCCATAACACTCCTAATTCTTGTACTCATAAAATTTTACTTAAATTGGAAGTGGTAAGGAAATAATTGTCTTAAGGTTACCTGTAAGTGAAGACAAGTTCATCTCACACCTGTGTATCTTTGAAACTAATTTCACAAAAATATTCAGATAAAAATCATTGTTTCTGAAAATGTTGATATTTTCCTGCAACCACTGTATGATGGAACTCTGATTAAGATTTTTACCTTTGTATGACAATAAAAAAAAACCAAGTCTGGGCACAGGCTGACTTCGCATTTTCAGTACTCAAGTTTGGAATTCATTAATTTTATTGCGAGCATAATAACAAAAACAATTCTGGTTCCATACAAGGCAGAGATTCTCTTTAATATCTATGTGACTACTACTAATTTCCCAACGACCTACATGGAATTACTTAAGTGGCAGAGGACAGAGTCCAGTAGTGTTGTTTACTTTTGTCTTCATATTACTCACGTTGTGTATTTTGTCCCACCACTCCTCATTCTCTTCTTGCCCTCTGAGGCTAGGTGGGATGAACCAGAAACAGACATTGGTACATTCAAATTCATCCAGCACTAGTCTGAACCCTGGTCGTGCCTGTATTCTCTCCTTCAGGTATCTATAACGAACCAAAATCTGCCCTAAGCATCACATCCAAACACACACACATCCAGCCATATGTCCACGTGTGCATACATAAAACATTAAATACATATACTACAACCCACGCATGAGCACATGTACACACAAATATTCCATGGATCCAAAAGTTAGTCACGCTGAGTATAGGATGTGGAACAAAGCACAAAACATCTCTATGAGAACAATTTAAATTTTAATCGTTTCACAAATTATGAAGCCTTAGCATGGAAATATTATGATCTTACACTAAATTCACTGCTATACAGCATGAATTATTGACCATATGAAACACTAATATAACTCGCAACAAAGCGTTCTGTTGTGGTTTTAAAGAACAGTACAGTATTTTTGGGCAGTCAACAGGCAACTTAAAAATCAGTCCTTTTCCTGACAATGATTATTCCATGTGCATTATATTACTAATTAACTTAATGGAATAATCATTGCCAAGAATAGGATTGATTTTTTAAACTGCGTGTTGACTGATGAAAAACACTGCAGCATTAATCTAATCACACAACATGTCCCACTTAACTTCAGAATCATTTCAGCAATATGATTCTTCCAATTCAGGTGCTTACCAATTTCTAGACCAAGGAATTTTCTTTTTGCTGACACTTGGATACATTTTATATTGCAACCAATCCTTAACGCACATTGTGGTGAATTATTTGTTACAAACTTGGGGTCCGCATCAATATTACACACTGCACAGCACATTCCTAAACCTTTACCGTACGTGAGTATGGGATTTAAACCTGAATACTACAGAGCTGCCAACTGGACTTAAACCCTGAATGCTGAGTTTGAATGTTTATCACATGCTTCTGGGATGTACAGCCAGCAGAACATGCATAAGCCACGGCACATGACCAATACAGGTTAACTACACTGACATAACATGCAATGTAAGTGGCACGAATTGCGCATCTTTCAATACCTGCAGCAGTATACAAGACAAGCACTCTCCTGCATATGGAAAAGCCTGCTCTAATTACATGTACATGATCTTTCCTGAAAATCTGATAGTTGTTCATCTGGTGGACTAATTTCATTTTGGTAATGAAACCCTGTGCCAGTCCTACCTTGAAGCATCCATGGCATCGTTAATGAGGCTCTCAAATTCACTGCTGCCACGTGCCTTCCACATGAGCCACAACTTGAATGCATCGACCTTGCGCCCACACTGAACACTTTTATCCCCTGTATTTTCTGAAACAGGTATGATGCTGATGCAGAGTTGCAATGGTGCATTAGTCCCTGGAAATATTATTGCACACCACAGTAAGCGTGTCCCAGTGAAACTAACCAACACCACAAGTACACAGCACACATTAAAATATTTACTGATGGTTTTGTTCATTGTCGAACACTGCCTGGCGTCTTGTTCTTACTTAATTTGTCAGAATGAGTTTTGGGACACATTTACCGAACCTCCTATGCCAAACAAATTGACAATACCTTGTCTAGTGAACTGTCTCTGTGACACAGGATCTCTTTACTCAGTTGCGTCACACATGTGAAAAGTAAAATTTGAGGTCCATCCATCCATCCCTGAACATGATGGGGAGTAAGATACAAAAATCCACATGTGGTAGAAACTATATTGCTCTTTTACACTTGTGTGTACCACAATTTCATGACAAAATAGAACCCATTATTCACATTTTTCTGCGGACTTATGAAAAATTACGTATACTGCAGGAAAATATATATTGAACTGAATTAACAAACAAATTGCACATTGACAGAAGTAATTGATGATCCACTACCTTCTCTTTAGTGAGAAACATTGCACATTGAAGTGGTGCTCCAAGCATCTTGTGGGGGTTCCAGGCTACCGAATCCACCCTGGGAATGGGAAGACAGAAATGTGATTGGTCTGAGTGTCACTCATGTAACAAAACACAAATAACTTTTCATCAGTGTTACATTAGACATTGTCCACTGTCTGAGGTATGAGGTTTCAGCATTTGCCTCTATTCCTGCCTTCAGGCTGTAATAATTCATGTAGTTGGTACCCACTATGTCACCAATGAGACAGATGATGACTTTATTAAGTCCATTGGTTACACTTTACTGTGTCAGACATGTCTCCCTTGTATTCTGTCCACTTCTGTAGTCCCATATTGCATTGTTTTAACAATCTTTTGACATTCATTATTTCCATTTAAAAACTATACCACCACCTCCTCATTTATGATTTATTCCTCATCATATTTTCTCATTGACCTTTACCATTTCTCTTTATGTATGCTTAAATATAGCCCAATTTCCTGCAGTCTGAAACTACCTCCTAATTCCAATTTCTGGATCAGTACTTATGAATCTAATTGTCACCACTAAAGTTAAAATAAGCATATGAATATAATGACAACCAATTGTCTAAAAGCAGCCTCCTGTCATCCATATGAAATATACCTCAGACAATAGACAATGTCCAATCAATATTCTTAAAATACATAAACCATTACCATAAACATTCAGAGAATCAAAAACTTGTCTTGTACAACATTTGCACATGTATTTATAATCAAGTAACAAATTCCATGTGATCAGAAACAGTGGTCCACCAGATGCCATCATTAAACAATATTTCGTAATTACTGACATGAAGGAAGGAAGTGATGTTTGCCTGCCATTTCATTTCACTGGTTCATTAGTCATTTTACAAATCAACATATAAAATCAGTACACGACAATATGATATTTGACTTTTACTTGCAACATTTCTGAAAATGGAGTACACAGAACGAAAATGACACCCATGCAGTAAACTGTCTTCACTGCTGATTAGCTCTGTTAACAGTAGAGTTGTATCTGCTACAAATTAAAACCAAAATGAATATGTGTAGCACTCAAAATTGCACTGCAACTTACTACTTGCAGTGCGTAAATGACAACAAATTCGACTGAGATGTTCTCACCTGTCTAGGCCCTTAAGGCAATGACAGTATTTCTTGGAGAGCATCAGAGTTCCACCCCAACATGCCTGGAACATTTGATAAAACAAAGAGGCTCGTGAACTTCTGAGCAATTTCCTTACCTCATTCTTCATTACTTAAGTCTTAACAACATTCAGTACAGAATACGAGCTATGAAGTTGCCCAAAATGTATTTTTCCCCATATCTGTGTTCTGCCTCTAATATTCTCTTCAACACTTGTCAAGCTCCTTCAATCCAGTCTTCCTTGAAATTGAAGATTACAACCATACAAAACAACATGTAAAATTATACATTTAAGTGTATTTAATCTTTGCAACTTAAATAATCAGAAGAATGAAACTGATTATTTTCCTTGAGGAACTTTAGTCATTGAAATGTGATTAAACATTTATCGGACTTACATCAACATGCAGCCATAGACCATACTGTTGACAGACATCAGCAAGCTGTTCAAGAGGATCAAAAGCTCCTAGAACTGTGGTTCCAGCAGTAGCAGACACAAAGAAAGGCTTCTTTCCTTCCATAATTGTCTGCTGAATGCAGCAAATGAGGTCGCTCGGAATCATTTTCCCATAACAATCAGTTTTTACAAGAATAACATTCTCTGTGCCAATGCCCAGCCAGTGCGCAGCCTTCTTCACAGAGTAATGTCCCTGTTATGGAACAAAACAAATATTACTCGCTTCAACCTAACTCCGACATTTGAAACTCAAAAGTTAAATTACTAAAGTACAGCAGCAGTTCTCAACCTTTTCTGAGCCAGGGACCGCCAAAACAGCAGCAGGTTTTCTGAGGACTGCCACCCAACCTGTCTCACATCATACCACATAAAAAGTAGTCTACAAATATAATTACTTCTGGAGAACAACCCACTGAAATCAACAGAAAAGTAAAATTACTGATAAAAGGATAATATCTGTATAAGCTACCCAATTCTGGAGAAAGACATTCCTTACTCAAAAATAAATAAATACAACACTTACAATTCACCCTAGTGTATGTTCTGTAGACTGCAAATTTGAATAAATATTTGTCCCAGTCATATGTAATATATTCCTCCTTACTTCCCAGTACACAACTGATCACATTATTTTATTCCTAATACACTTTAAATGAACAAGAATCATATCATTCTACAAAAAGAATTCTGTGAGGTGGCTGAGCACGCAGCAGGTTATACAGCCACTCATTCAGAAGCCAATGTAACCCTATTTCTAGAAAAATAATTTTTGTGATAAGACTTAACAACGCTGCAAAATTATACTATTTTCAAATGCCACTGTTGTTAATGCATATAAATGTTTTGCTGAATTGTATCAACAAGTAAACAATCTTTTACTTCAAAGTATCGCTTCCATTCTGTGAATGCTAATGATATTTGGATGTAAAAATGTAAGGTCAATCAGTTTGTCTCAGAAGTTTTAAGTTAATCAGTATAAAATATATGCTGTATTAGTTTATCATCATGCAAAACTGAAAGGGATATGAACTGCTAATAATTAATGGAAACAATCATAGCATTAATGACTCACATCTTCTGATGCGAATACCACTAGAGGAGGCAGCCCTGAAAGGCCCTTTACCTTGGAGTCGGGAATGGCTTTGTACCTCGCTAGCACCATGCCATACATGTTGGACATGCTGCCACCTACACTAACAAAAATAAATTTCCCAGCTGAGTTATTAATCATGGAACATTCAAACGTAGGTCTACATAACCTTGCAACACCCGACACTGACAGAGACTGAACAACAGTGTTGCGCAGATATTTACAGTTCCAGGTCATGACAGAGTGGGATTGCTGAAGACGTGATCAACAGGGAAGGAAACTGAGATTTATTCCCTTTTGAGGGAAACTGAAGGGATGAAATAAAACAAATGGATGAGATAGTAAGAAAGCACATTCATCTGGATTGAGTAGTGTCTGAGGACCATCACTTCACTGGGTAATACAAGTTTAGTATTCAAGGGGGTGCAGGTTCTACTACTGAGAATGGAAACACCACCACCACCTATATAATGACAACCAATAGCAGAGCCAGAAAAGTGGCAAGCATAAAATACAGCTCAGTGGACACAGCATTCCCACATAATAGTAGTCAATTACCTGGGGCAAAAATGCCATCACCATTTGGAAATCCAAAAATGTTGAGGACATGTTGCAATACCGCATGCTCCACGAGGACGAATACAGGTGCAACCTCGTAAGTGTGACTAAAACAATAAGAAATAGTTGGGCAATAAATTTACCATTTCCACTCTGAGGAATTAATCACAAATAAATTATCAGTGTTACCTCACAGACTGTTCTGCTGTGCAGAGTGTTCCTGTAATGACCTACGCAAGTGGTAGAGCCAGTCCCAAAAAAACATGAGTGATAAATTTCGCTGCATCGCTTACAATTCAATAATAATATTAATCTTTCCAAATTTCCCTAAATATTCAACAATTTTTGATTTTAAGTGGCACTAGTCCATCACTGTTTGAGCTTTTGCTGAAATGAGCCTTACTATTCAATTATAGGTTTCAAGGACTGAAAACTTATTTGTGTCATTGTCAAACATGCCTGCCGATATAAACTTTATTAGTCACATATCAGTTTTTAAACAATCAACTGCATTATTTGAATGATTAATTAATTAATCAGTTAAGCTGCATTCTATTTTAGACCTACAAAACTGGTCACATGCATTATAATTAACAACAACAGTGGACACTTGATATCTGTTATAGGGAAAAGACATACAGAGCAATAGACTAACTTTCGACGGAAGTCATGAACATCAGTACTAAACTCCTTTTTCAGGTAAATAATAGCTAGTAAACACAATCCTTCAGATTTGCTAAACTTCTCTTAGCATTTTCTGCCTTATCATAATGTAATAAAGATCACTCCTCTTAAATTTCTAATCAGAAATCCAGATCAATAATAATGTTTCCATTCCATAGTTCTCGGAACATTTAACTGTACCCGGCACTGCTAATTTTGTAACACCTGCACACGTCTGTTTATCATTTACAATTATTCTTGCTGCTGTACGCAGTATTCAATCCTGACTCTTCGTTTTCCAGTTGCACCAATAACATTTTAATTTGTTTTCTGAAGTTGGGAGTACTCTTGGCCTTTTAACTTTCTAATTTGATGTCATACATACGGGCTCTAAGTT